TAGCAACTTATATTTCTTTCTTTGCCATATTTCCTCGTCACTTCCGCCATCTTTCTTCACTCAGACAACCTATGAAGATCTTTTGTTGAAGTTTGAAGTTGGAGTTTTCTCACTTTCTTTTTTCATTGTTTTGTTATTTTACTTATGCTTTGTTTGCACTTTTTTTCTTCCTTTCTTTTTATTGCTGTAAGCTGCCTATAGTAGTTCCATGGTGGGATAGAAAGCAAATAAATTTGATAGATAAATATTTGGAAGGTTTGGACCTTTTGGCTGGGTATCTGTGAAGAAGCAGTAGGAAAAAAAGGATATGGCAGACGATCTGACAAAGACAATATGATATGGAACAGATGTTCTAATTTCTTTCCCATTTTCTGGTTTGGAAATGTTTCTCTTCAACTTTGAGTAACAAAACAATGCCTTCGTGGGTATCAGAACATGAGGTGGAAGATTGTCCAAGATGCCTAGTCTTCTTCATAGCTCTGCTCCACCACACGACAGTATCAGCTCTCAACTTCCTGGTTGCCTTGACAAGCCCACCCCACTTTGGTGCCAATTCACAATATCACAAAGTCTGAAAAAGCCCTCAGTTTCTGAGCTAAGTTTGGTTTCCTTAGCTATCTCAAGAGCAAAGTGCCCTGAGGAGACCCCACCAAGCTATTTCTGGGCGTAATGACCCTTCTTATCACCCATGAAAGGGATAAGAGCGGGTATCGGGTCGCTCCTTCAGCTCTGTGGAAGGTTCTGGGGACAGGAATTTCAGAACAGGGACATGAGCAATGACGCAACCAAAAAAAGTACAGGTCTTCAACTTACCACCATCTATTTAGTGACTGTTCAAAGTTATAACACCACTGGAAAAAGCTATTATGTTTTTCACTCTGAAGACTGTTGCAGCATCATCCCTGTGGTCACATACTCAAATTTCGGACACTTGGTAACTGGCATGTTCAGGTAATCCTCAACTTAGGACCAAAATTGAGCCTAAAATTTATGTAGTTATGAGAATTTGTTAAGTGAGTTTTGCCCCATTTTTTAAAAAAAAAATTTTTATTGAATTTTTCACAGTTAAAAACAACACAAATACAAAAGAATACAACAAAACAACACAAATACAATCTTTGTAGTGTGTGACATCGACTTTCCCAGTTTCTATTATATGTATGTATGTATGCATGTATGTTTGTATGTATGCATGTTTATATTTTTTATTTTTACTGTCCTATTATCCAACCAGTTGTATCATTTTTTCCAGACTGTATAATATTCCTTCTCTTCCCTCTCTTGAAATTTCAATGTTTTACCATTTCTCCATAATTTTCTTTATAATCATACAGTCTGTGGGAGGGCTACCTAATTTCCAACTCTGGGCATAGGTTATTCTTGCTGCTGTTAGAATGTGTATTATGATGTATTCAATTTCTTTCTTAAACATTCCTGTGAACATTCCTAGCAGAAACATTTCAGGCTTAAATTCTATTTGAAATTCAGTAACTTCTTGCAACCACGTTCTAATTTTATTCCAGCATTCTTTTGCTTTAGGGCAGGACCACCACATGTGAAAGAAGGTACCCTTGTTTATTTTTACACTTCCAGCATTCAGGGTTCATATTTGGGTATATTTTCACCAATCTTGCTGGTGCTAGATACCAACGGTAAAGCATTTTATAACGGTTCTCTTTATATGCGGCAGCCACAATTAATTTATAATTTTTGGTCCATAATTTTTCCCAATCTTCTAATTGTATATTATATCCAAAATTTCTCGCCCAGGCTATCATTGTTTCTTTAACAGTTTCCTCTCTGAGTTTTGCCCCATTTTATGACATTACTTGCCACAGTTAAGTAAATCACCGCACTTGATAAGATAGTAACCAGGTTATTACATGATCTTGGGACACAGGAATTGTCACAAATATGAACTGGTTGTCAAGCATCTGAATTTTGGTCACATGATCATGGGGATGCTGCAAAGGTTGCAATTGTGAAAAATAGTCACATGCCACTTTTTTCAATGCCATTGTAAGTTTGAACGGTCACTATATGAAATGTTGTAAGTTGAAGACTACCTGTATTTAAGACAGTTCGGTGTCCTGGGGTCATGTGATCACTATTTGTGACCTTCTGGGCAAGGCAAAGTCAATGGGACAGATTCACTTAACCATGTTACTAAGTTATTAACTTGTGGTAAGAAAGGTTGAAAAATGGTGTAAAATTCATTTAACAACTGCCTCACATAGCAACAGAAATTTTGGGTTCATTTGTGGTCGTATGATTGAGGACTACATGTATGAGTTGACTGTGCTTCAGCTGTACCTCTTCATACATCTTACACACCCTCTGCATAAGAGATTCTCTTAGCTAGAACTTTTACAGTGCTAGCAGAGAAATCAGAGAACAGATTCCAGTTTGGACCAATCCAACTATGGATGCCAAGTCCTATCATCCTTTAGCATGACAGGACTGTCATCTTGCACATATGACAAATGCCAGATGGAGAAGGTAGCTTTAAACTGTGGGGTTTTTTTTCTTTTAGTTAGCCATTGTAATCTATTTTACGCAATTCCATTTGCAGTGACTGATAATAAATGATGCTCAACCAGGTATTTGCATGCATTACTGCAGCTGCTTTTAATTCCACCATAGCAGCTGCCATGTCTCCTTCTCTGGTCTTTCCTCCTCACCACATGAATATTTGCATGGTAATGAGTAATTTTATGTAATGAGTAATTTTCTAAACCATGGTAATTCATTCTTTTCCAAACCTTACTTTACTGCCTTATGTTCTTTTTTAAAGTCATGCAGCTATTATTGTGCCTTTTCCCCCAAGGGTATTTTATAGCTGCTTTCGAAGCACGGTGGTCAAAAGAGAATCCTATAAAAAGTGTGTGTGTCTAGAAATAGAGTAGGTTTTATTCACTTTGGTCAGGTGAAAAAAAAAAGAGTAAAAGAGAGAGGATAATACCTGTGAGATCCAGTATACAAACATGGGATGAGTAAGCAGAATAAAATAAGTAAAATACACTCTTAAAGTTAACCTTCTCGAGTAAAATCTGCATCTCAATCTCAAAGGGGAAGCTCAGATAAACAAGTGGGATCAAAAGCCAAGCCCTCCAGATCTTGCCTCTGCCCTTTTGTTGTTCCATTCTTTGAACATCTTCTTACTGTGCCTAATTTAGTTTGCCCATTATCAATCGTAAGTACTGATAAAGCCTCTTCTGTTTTTCTGATAAAAACCTCCGGTCACTTTTAAAGCCAATCTGGCCCCACTTGTGGATAGGATCCAAGAATACCTTTTCTGGGATGGGGGTGGGCAGTTGGGCTCGGATTTCCTAATCACGATACTCTTTACAACTGTTTGGTTTAGCTGCATGTGTTGTGTTGTAAATGTTTATTGGCTATGAACACTGCATTAAACCGTAACATTGTTCGTTTAATAACTTAAAACTAATGACCCTTCCAAGTTACAACAATACTGAAAACATGACTTAAAAAAAGAGATTTGACAATCCTTTGTCTAAAATGGTACAGGGTTTCGTGCTCGGCAGGGGGCTGGACTAGAAGACCTCTAAGGTGCCTTCTAGCTCTATTCTGATTGATTGAAAATTTGTCCTTGCATTTACAATTGTTGCATCTGTCCCCAAAATCAGATAATCGGATTATGGGCACTTGGCCACCGGCATGTATTTATGATGGTTCCTGGGTGGGTCATGTAATATAAATGCCTCTTTGCAAGATGGGTGGCAGACAAACAACAAGCAAGCAAACAAACCAACATTCACCAATTGCAACCTTCTCAGCTGAGGGGTGAGGAAAAAGTAAGAAATTCCCAGGGCAGTAGGCTAACATTCCCCCCCAACACCCCCCCCCAAAAAAAACCCCAAACCTCCCCAAAGAATCAAAGCTTTTTTGCATTGTAGCTGAGAAAGCTGTGCGGATGTGTTTAGGAAGGAGCCAGAAATGCTATGTTTTCCAAAAAGCTGGACATGCTGCACACTCTGGTGATGATGGGCTCTGGATGGTTATCTAACACTTTTCCTTGTGGTTTATTAAACAAACCCATATCTGTTGGGTTCTCACAACATAAGCCATGGTTTACATGCCGCCTTAATCTGAGACCTTAACCTCAGGCTTTGCCATCCTCCAGTCTAGAGGTCACCAAACTTGACTGCTTTTAAGCCTAGCGGACTTCAACTCCCAGAATTCTGGGAGTTGAAGTCCGCCAGGCTTAAAGCAGCCAAGGTTGGAGACCCCTGCTCCAGTCAATTGGGCGCGGGGTTGGACTAGATGACCTACAAGGTCCCTTCCAACTCTGATGATCTGTTATCAGTTGCTCCAAAGTGCCGGCTGAGCCCGACCTCATCTTGCCGTCTCCATAATCATCCCAAGTCCGCAGATGGGAGCCCGGTGGGCGAAGGAATCCTTCCCCCCCCACCGCCCACTTTCTCCCAGGTCTCTGCTTTGGGTGGTCCCGTTGAACGGCCGACACCTCAACCAGCTCCTGGTTCCGCGGCTTGAAGAACAACAGACAAGAGAGGCCGCGCGACCTCCCTCCGGCCTCCCTCTTTCTCCCTTCCCGCCTGGCCTTGCTGGCCGTCTTCAAAAGCGGAGCGGGGCGACCCCGGACTGAGCTGCCAGCGAGTCCAGGGACTGAGCCTTCGCCTCGCCTAACCCGAGCCCCCCCCCGCCCGGCCAACCTGCCCCGCGCGGAAGGCTGGAGGGAGGCGGGCGCCGGCTTGGAGAAGCCGGGACGCGGGTCCGCAGTCCGGGCCTGGTCCGGCCCTTCTCCGGGGGGCGAGAAGGGGGGGGGGTTGTCTCCCAGAATGGAAGCTGCCCAGCCGGCGGGGCTAAAATTAGCGCGGCGCTCCGGGCGCAGCTGTCCCGTCCCGTCTTGGGTCGCCTCGCCTGGCCGCCCCCCTCGACGGCCTCTCCGCTCTCGGCGGGGCCAGGCGAGCGCTCGGGCCAGGCGGTCCCGGCCACCTCACAGAGGCCGGGCTGCTGCGACACAGCCGGGCCGGCCGGCGGGGGCTCCGGCGACGCTCCGTCGGGCGACACGGCAACCCGTCCGACGGCCACCAGCTCGTGAGTATCGCCTGCCGCCGGGCGGCCGGGCGGCCGGGCGGGCTGGCCCCGACTGGCGGGGGGGCTTCTGCTCGGCCTGGAGGGCGCGGGACGGGCGCGGCCGGTTCACACGCGCCCCGGCCGGTTCCGAGCTGGGTGTGGCCGGGGCTCCCTGACCCGGGGAGCGAGGGAAGGGCTGGGCAGGGGGCTTGAGGGGACCCCAAAGGGACTGCGGTTTAACCAGGGGAGCAGCAGCCTGGCTCAAGTGGTGGCAGCCCAACAGGCAAATCTTGGGCTGCTCACATTCTTAACCTGGAGTTGGCAAGTTATCCCATTCCCTGGGTTCACCCAAATAGGTGGGATCCTAAGATTAGCGAGGAGACGGACTTCTGCCCGAACTGTCCACGAAAGGCAGCGCCAGCCCAGTTTCACCGGGGTGAAGGCCTTTGTTGCAGGAGGTGGGGTTCTCTGAACGGGATTTCCTTTTCCCTCTTAAGTTTGGCAAAGTGGTTGGTCTGCTTAGTTTAGGGAGCCTTGCAAAGCAGCCCCCGGAAATAGCAGGTGGGAGTTTTTTCAGCCACTTCGGGATTCTGTGCTGCACCTGTTGAACGGAAAATGGTATCACAGCCCCTGGCCCTGCCTGAAGGTGGTCTCATTCTCATGCCCTTCCTTAGGGTAAGGATGAGCAGTTGGCATGGAGACCGGCCTTTGTGGTTTGCAAGGGGCAGCTTTCGGCATAAGGCCCTATGCAGGCCTCCTTACAGGTAGTCTGTTCAAAGTTACAATAACACTGACAAAAATGACTTGGGACCATTTTTCACCTTTACGACCATTCCAGGATCCCCATGATCAAAATCCAGATGCTTGGCATCTGGTTCATTTTTATGACCGTTGCCGCATCCTGGGCTCATGTGATCTCTTTGTGACCTCCTGACTAGCCAAATCAATGGGGAAGGCAGACTCACTTAACAACTGGGGTGGGACGCTACCGGTTCTGCCCGGCTCTATAGGACCGGTAGCTCTGAAGAGCAGCCGACACCGAACAGGTTCTGTGTTTGCTGCTGTTTGGCCCACCCGCCCGCCTGGGCTCTTCCCTGTCCTTTATTTCCTGCTTCTTCAACCTCAGCTGCTTTGCGCGGCACAGCTGAGGTTGGAAAAGCAGGAAAAGAGAGGAGTTTCAAACGCTGCGCAACCGCCCACAATGCTTGTCAGCTCTTTGGGCGGCACAGCTGAGGTTGGAAAAGCAGGAAAAGAGGGGAGTTTCAAACGCTGCGCAACCACCCACAATGCTTGTCAGCTCTTTGGGCGGCACAGCTTACGGGTTTTTTACACGCGTGTGGGCGCAAACGTCACTGAACCGGTAGTAACACTGGCTGAATCCCACCCCTGCTGAAAAACCATGTTACTACAGGTGCTCCTTGACTTATGACCACAACTGAGCCCAAAATTTGTGTTGCTGAAACACTTGTTAAGTGAATTTTTCCTCTTTTACGACCTTTCAAGCCACAGTTATTAAGTGAATCACTGCAGATGTTAAATTAGTATCCCAATTGTTAAGTGACTCTGGTTTCCCCATTGACTATGCTGGTGGGGAGGTCGCAAAGGGAATCACGTGACCCCGGGACACTGCAGCCATCGTGAACATCAGTCAACTGCCAAACATCTGCATTTGGGTCACAGGTCCCTAGGGATTCTGGGAAAATGGGTCATAATTCTCCTTTTCCTACTGTGGCAAGCAAGGTTGTAAAATGAGGCAAAATTTACTTAACAAATGTCTCACTTAACAACAGAAATACTTGGGCGAGTCAAGGACTACCCATATTCAGCAAATCCATGACTAGACAAAGCACCATTAGCACAATAAGCCAGTGCATTCTAACCACGGAGGCTTGGCGTGGTTACCATCTTCCCAGCCAGAGAGCACCACGCCTTGCCTTCAACTCTCCTCCTTCTTTCAAACCTGCTTCCTCTGCTTCCTCTTGTGCCCCGTGACCATGTAGCCTTGGACTACAAGTCCCATTATGCCACAGAAATGGTGAGTTATGGCTTCAACAATAGCGGAAAGACTTAAAAGGTATTGGAATGAATTTATGCATTTAGATCAAAATGGATTTTTACCCAAAAGACAGATTAAAAATAATGTGAGAATTATTTTTAGATACATTGGAGTATTATGAAGTGCACTCAGAAAAACAAATGGCATTGATTTTTTTAGATGCACAAGAAGCATTTGATCATTTAAATTGGCAATTTATGATATATCAATGCATGAATTTTGGGGGAAATTTATAAATATGATTCAGACAATATATTCCAAACAAACAGCAAAAATGATTGCTAATGGGGACTTGATGGAGAATTTCAGTATAAGAAAGGGTACTAGACAAGGCTGTCCACTCTCCCCATTGTTATTTATATTAACATTAGAAGTGCTAAACAGAAATGTTAGACAAGATGCAGATATAAAAGGGATGGAAATTAAAAAAGAAAAATATAAATTACAAGCGCTTGCAGATGATCTGATATTTATCTTAGAAGAACCACTAGAAACTGGTCCCAAACTAATAAGAAAAATAGAAGAATATGGAGAAGTGGCAGGATTGAAAATAAAGAAAGAAAAAACTAAAATACTAATTCAAAAATTTACAGAAAAACAGAAAAATGGGATGGTTAAGAAAGCAAACCTTCAGGTGGTTAAGAAAGTAAAATAGCTAGGAATTTATTTAACAGCAGGATGTGCAACAGTTAAAGAAGATAATTATACAAAATTAATGCGGCGAATTAAGCAGGATTTGGAGAAATTGAAGAACCTGCAACTATCCATGATAGGAAGAATAGATACTATAAAAATGAATATATTGCCAAAACTACTCTTTTTGTTTCAAACAATTCCTATAAAGTTAGAAAAAAAGTTTTTGGATGAATTGAATAAATTAATGTTAAAATTCATATGGCAAGAGGAAAAAGCAAGAATAAGATTGAAAATGCTGCAAGAATCTAAAACCAACGGGGGTTTGGGGTCAGCAGATTTATTATTAGGCATCTGCACTTACTTGGCTGAAAGAGTGGGCAAATCTGAGACATAGAAGATTATTACTGTTGGAGGGACATGATCTTCAATTGGAGTGGCATGTATTTTTGTGGTATGATAAGAATAAAATACATAGATATTTCCAAAGACATTATGTAGGAAATGCATTAGTTTTAGTAGGGGAAAAAGTCAAAACAAAAAAACTATAGGAAAATACCAGTCTGACTTTCTACAATGGAAAATGTCAGGCTATACAACTTTTTCCCATTCAATTAATAAGAATGAACTTCTGAAAGCCAAACGTATCAAAAGGAATCCTTTATTGAGATGAGACAATTCATGTAGTTCAAAGTAGCATCTAAGGTCTCTCAGGCATACAGGGAGAGATAAGGGAATTTAGAACTCCTCCCCTTATCTCAATGTGTATTTAGTGAAACAAAAGCCAGTATGTTAATTGCCCCTCCCACCCCTTCTGTAGGAACGATCTTTCTCACATTTCCCAGGACATACCTAATTTTCCCCAACCCCCTTTTTAGAACGAACTTTTTCCAGAGATTCCCAGGACACATCTCACTGTGGAATTTTTATGATCTTCTCATCTCCTGGCTGTGCCTCTTGGAGGTTATAGGTTCTGGCCATCTGGGATTCCTCTCTCCATTGTATCATGTGTGGGTTATACAAATTTGATATAAGATTGAATGTATTCAAGTTACATCAAGAAATGATTTCTTTATCAGTGTCCCTCCCCCCCTTTCTTCTTCCACTGAAGAAATGACAGATACACGGACCTAACATCCTGCCCTCCTTAAAAAACAGATAGGTCTTCCTGGAAAAAACAAAAATCATGCATTACATTAGCAATTCAGGATGGCTTATCAGGGTATTTTAGGTGGAACTTTCATAGTAATGTGGGTGCTTTTACGTGTCGTTTGGCTACCCACTCATTTTCTGAGGAAGGAAGGTGTTTCCAAGCTACTAAATATTAGGTGGATCCACAGTGAGTGCGTGAATCAAGGATATCTTTAATTTCAAAATGTTGTTCCCCATGTACCATGATGGGGGTTGGAGGTGTGGGAACGGGGGGTCTGAGGTTTGAAGTGATCTCTGGTTTGAGCAAGCTACAGTGAAATACTGGATGAATCTGCCTAAGTGTTTTGGGAAGTCGAAGCTCTACCGTCATGGGGTTAATCATTCTGGAGATGGGGAATGGGCCAATGAATTTTGGCCCAAGTTTCTTAGAGGGTTGTAATGATTTTAAGAATTTTGTGGACAAGTATACACGGTCCCCAATCTTGAAAGGTTTAGGTTAGCAACGTTTTTTGTCTGCATGAGTTTTGTAAACTGCTCTAGCTTCCTGTAAAGACAATCTTACCACTGGCCGCATGGCTTGTAAGTTATCCATCCACTCCTTAAGGGAGGGGACTTCAGGATCTTTGGTGGGTAGTTCTGGCATGGGGTTGAATTCTTGGCTCGTGGCTAACTAGAATGGGGTGAACCCCGTGCTGCTATGGACTGAGTTATTGTATGCTACCTTTGCAAAAGGAAGAAGGTCAGTCCAATTGTCCTGTTGGTAATTAATAAAGCATCTTAAATATTGTTCTAATACGCTGTTAACTCTCTCTGTCGATCCATCCGTCTGGGAGTGACTTGATGACGACAACCCCTGGGTGGAGACTAATAGGTTTTAAAATGCCTGCCAAAATTTGGATGTGAATTGAACCCCCCTATCTCAGATAATCCGCTGGGGAGTTCCATGAAGGCGATAAATGTGTATTAGGAACATCTTTGCCAATGCCTTGGCAGTTGGGATCTTTTGGCATGGAATAAAGAGAACCTGTCTGGAAAAAAGATCAGTTACAACCCAAATGACAGTATTTCCAGCACTTTCGGGAAGCTCCACTATAAAGTCCAAAGAAATCTCTTTCCAGAAGGGTCTGCTACTGTTTGTAAAAGTCCAGGATATTTTCCTTGTCTTCTCTTTGCAGCTGCA